CACCTGTCAACGACGAATGACCGCGAAATTCAAGCTAAGTATATAACGCATCTTCATAAGCAATGCTGTATGTTTTCCAGAGGCATATAATGATACATTTTAAAAGATTTACATATCGTTACTATCGCCACCCATGGCTCCACCAACTTTTGGGTCATACGTGCCTAGTCGTGGACACTTTGACTCCCTACCATTTTGTATTGTCTATTTATTGGTGAGAAGTTTCCCTAAGATATGAAACAGTTGTACCATGCAAGGTGTGTGTGTGTGTGTGTGTGCAGGGTGGCGGTGGAGGTGATCCGCGCGTGCGGCAAGGCGTGCGTGGTGAAGCGGCGGTTCGCGGCGGCGGGGCTGCTGCTGCGGCAGGCGGTGGCGCTGGCCCGCCGCGCCTTCGGCCCGCGCCACCCCGCGCACGCGCACGCGCTGCTCGACTACGGCTTCTACCTGCTCAACGTCGACTCCATCGCGCGCAGCGTCTCCGTCTATGAGGTGCGCCCCACACTGCTGCACACATCTACACACATCTACACCCAACTACACATCTACACATCTACACACTTTCAACTTAATTCTATCTTAAACAGTGATAGAACCCGCTTTAACATCTTCGCACGAATGGGCCCACTCGCCCGCTGCGTACCACGACCACACAGAAGACAGGGGTCAAGTGGAAGTATTTCCGTGTACAGTCTGATGAGTGTGATGCCAGAGGCTTAATTGTAGTCCCTTTTCCTTTCCACCCTTTTCTTAAGACGAAAGGATAGGAAAATTGGCAGGGGATTTGTGTCCAAACTAGGGTGGCTCCTGTATGATGGATCACCAGGCTCCCGGCCCCACAGACCAATAATGAAATATACAAAACAAAAGATAAATAACAATTATTATTAACTGAAACAAAGCATATCTTTTTAAAAATTGTGTGTATTCCAGGAGGCGCTGTCGACGCTGCGGCGCGTGTTCGGGCGCAGCAGCCTGCACGTGGCGACGGCGCAGGAGGACCTGGCGTACGCGCTCTACGTGCTCGAGTACTCCTCCGGCCGCTTCTACAAGGCGCGCGACCACGCCGAGCGCGCCATCAGGATCATTGAGGTTCCCACTGCCTCATATTACTTGTCATTTACACATTACATAGTAGACCCAGTAGAGACAATAAAGAGAAAAAGGTTAACATGGTATGGGCATGTTATGAGGAGAGGGATGTATCTCATGTAACAAGAAGGACATTAATATTTGTGAAGGTTCACTGGTATAGGGAGACGTAGAAAGAGATGGATGGATGAAAGGTGACATGATCAAGAAGGAAGTGATGACTGAGACGACGGATGATAGTTATGTGAAGAACAAAACCTATTAAGCCATCCCTGCTGGAGTTAGGGTATAGGAGGAGGTAATGACTATGATCTTGTGTACACTATTTCAAGCTTGGGCGAGAAATAACGACTAATGGGGCGTGGCTTTTTTGTCTCCCGCCCCTTTTGTATTCTAGTATTGTTATAGACCTTATATTTAGATAGTTGTTAACTGAGCAGCACAGGTTAATCTTATTATGTGTTATCTACAGAACCTGGTGCCACCGGACCATCTACTGCTAGCATCAGCTAAGCGCGTGAAGGCGCTCATTCTAGAAGAGATCGCACTGGACACTCCTGCTGGACAGGACATGAGCGGTACTCACAGAAAATTTAAATGTCTATTATAACAGTGTTGATTCAGGTATTAACTGGTTTGTTATTTTGCAGAGCCAAGCCTGCTGGAGGAATCAGAGGCGCTGCACAAGGCGGCGCTGGCGCTGTCCATGCTGGCCTTCGGTGAAAAGAACGTGCAGACAGCCAAGCACTACGGCAACCTCGGCAGACTCTACCAGAGCATGCAGAAGTTCCAGGTACGTATGCCCTGTAACAATAAACTATCGACAATGGAAAAATATTAGCTGTCGCCGCGACCGCGCGGAATTAAAAAAAAATTCGTAGTCTATGATTTCTTTCAGACTATGTTCTACGTCTATACCAAATTTCATCGAGATTTGTTGAGTCGTTTTTGAGATATCTAATAACAAGCAACCATGTAAACTTTCATATCATACTTATATATATGTGGTTAGAGTTTGTAGCCTAAAGAGCTAAACGGATTTCGATGAAATTTGGTATAGAATTAGAGGATAGTTTGGAAGAACACATAGTCTACTCACTTTTTTTTAATTCCACGCGAACGGAGTCGCGAGCGAAAGCTAGTTTAAAATATTAGTAAGATTGCAACACTCTTAAATCTTCATTTAGAGATTGAGATTAAAGTCCCGACTAAATGTTTATTTTTGCTTGTATGTCAGGATGCCGAGACGATGCACCTGAAGGCGATCGCGATCAAGGAGGAGCTGCTGGGCGCGGAGGACTACGAGGTGGGGCTGAGCGTGGGCCACCTCGCCAGCCTCTACAACTACCACATGAACATGCACTGCGCCGCTGAGAAACTCTACCTGCGCTCCATCGCCATCAGTCAGTACACACGCTAGTCTAGCTCGGGGGAGG